CGGCCCCCGCGTTCCCTGCCCCGCACGTTCCTTCGCTTCCCCCGGCGAGAGGCACGCCTGCTCTGCTGCCCACCCTGGAGTCGGTTCTTCTCCGCACGCTTGCTTCATTCTTGTCTTTTTTTCAGTTCGTGCTCTCCTCCGCTTTCAGGTTTCAGCAGCGCGTGTTCACTCTTTGAACCCTTAGGGACGGAGGCAGTGGTGTGTGTCCCGTTCACACCCTTGGGAGCTCTGGCTTTCTGGAATCCTGCAAGGTCGGGGCTGACCTTTGTAATTTTGCATCTCCAGCATATTTTACAGTGAAGAGCACTCTTAATATAGCAGCAAAAATGAAGATGTGGATAGAAAAAGTGATGACAGGATAAGATGGTTGTAATGAGTGAGTTCGGGACGGTGGGTGACATCTTCACAGGGGCTGGAAATCTTGACATAAGGCGAGGAATGGTGGAAGCTTGACTGGCTGCCCTGTGCTTTATGTTTAAAAGGAGATTGTTGAATGCTGTCTGGCTTTTCTCTAGGAGGAACATAACCAGGGGTGTTGCTGGTAATAAGTTCTCCTTTTCTTGAGAGTTTGACAAGTTGAAAACCACAAAATTCTGAGGTTGCTTGTGAGAACTGGGCAGAGAACAATAGGCAGGAAACCGCTAATGACACAAACAACTTCTGATAGTTTATTTTAATGAAGAGTGATCTTCTGTGCCCCTTGTGTTACACAGTGGACTTCTTGATGTGAGAAAAATTTTTAATTTCATGCTTGCAGAGTGTTAATTGCCCGAACTCCCATGAGGTTGTTCATTCAAGTTCAGTCCAGGAGTTTAAAGGTGAAGAACCTCATCCTGCACAATTTTTCACAGAGTGAATTTGAAATAAGTTACCCACTTGATTTGAAAGAGAGGCAGCCCACTTCTTGCGGGACTGTGCCTTAAGCTTCGGAGATATTATACACAGCACAGCCTTATCTAGTTTCTGCTCTGGTAACCGGGAGGGTGTGGAGTATTGTATGCCCTGAACTTTGTTTCTTTCTATATAGGTAACAGCGCAGGCTATTTATGTATGGGAGCCCGTATGTATGACTTAAACTGAGAATCAAGAATTTTAAAATGTTGGTATTATAATCCAGTAAACTGTATAATGCTAGTATGATTGGCTGTGCTAGGTTATAGTGGGGGTTTTTTAAGCACACCTTTGAGCAAGGCTCTTCCACTTCAAGAATGGCCTTGGGCACTAGGATTAATCAGAGGCACGTCTCTAGCTTCCTTTTTATTAGCTTCCGGCATGAGCTTTTTGTGCTGGCTTGAGTCCACTGCTGATTATGACAGCTTCTCTCCCAGAAAGGGCACTGGCTTGTGAGTAAGCAGGGTGGAGGAAAAAAAACCTGCCTCTTCCCTGGCATTACAATCAAAAAGCGTGCCAGTGGGAAGTATCCCCTTACTTCTGTGTGTTCAGACAGCTGTGTGAAAAAGATACGTATTTCCCCTGTATGCAGACGCATGGACCAAACTGATGTAGTGTCTGTAATGCTTCAGCTCTAGCATTTAATTTGCAACCAGAACTGGTGGGGTTAATCCACAGTCAGTAAGCAGAACTATTTATCCAGTGTCTGGCTGTATCGGGCAGTGTTTGATATGTGGCATTAATGGACTTGTAATTTTGTCAGGTTGATGTTTGCAGACTTGTCAGTTTTCTGTCTACAGTTGCACCCTGAGCTGTGTTCAAGCTTTGTGCTGCAGTACCAGTCCTCGTAGATTTTGTGCTTACTCTGAAGAAGTTGATGAGGATTGAGAGGAAAGTGTGAGCTTCTTGGACCATTAATTTGCCTGCTAACCAGGGTGCCTGTTAGTACCAATTATGAAGGTGGTTGTAGTGAGGGTAATGCCACTGGTTTGTATGAATACAGGCTATTAGATGGTAACAACTTCCGTTCACTGGTAGCATGGGTAAGGTGATAGTTGTGAAGTGTAAAGATACAAGTTCATTCTTTTCAGAGAGAGCACACATTGTGGCTGTTAGTAATCTGTGCTTTGGAAACTAATACAGAACTACTTGCAGAACTACAGATGGCATATGGGCTGAGTTTGAAATGGCAGACAGCAGAGAGTGCGAGGTTGGAAATTGCAGCATTTTTAGGGAAGCATACGTGAGAGACAAATGGCTTGCAGTTTCTCACTTGCAATGAATTTTCAACTCGGTAACAGATGGGATTTTGGAAGCTTCAGGCTTGTAAAGGGACGAAATCACTGCTGATCCTCTGATGGGCAACATCTTGCCTCTTTAAGCAAAAGGATTTTCTGGGTCTCACAGAGCTTCCTTGCAATGTGCTTCACCTCTGATTTGTCTGATGCATCTTCCTTGGAAGCTCGTCAGTTTTGGGGCCAAATGAAATGAAGTAACCTATTCCTGGTCAAATGCTTCTTTTAAAACAAAGGTGTCACTTGCAGAATGCCTTTCATGCAGACTTTTCAGTCAAAAGAATGTACTGTGTACTGTGAAGGAAAGAATAGCTGAATGACTCCACGATTTCTAACTTATTATCTGTTTTATTTTAAAATTATTAACTGGGACTATGAGGAATCAACAACATAATTTTCTTTTTTTCCTGGCGGTAATGTGGGTTGGCATTAACTTTAAGTATCACTTCCATTGTAAAAGCGATTCTTCCATTAGTCATCATCTGTTCTTAACGTGTAAGTGTGCTTCGTGGACTGGGGAGGAATGTATTAATGGTTTCAGTACCAAGTGTGAGAGAATCCAGACTCTGTGGAATCATAAGCTATTCTGTTCTGGTATAAATCCAGGTTGCTATCAGAACAAGCAGTCGGACCCCATTTTCTGATTCCTTCCTGCAGGCAACGGCAGAGTGGTAAGCCAGGTCAGGGAATTGACCCAGCTCAAAACCAATTCAGAAATGAAAAGTGTTGAGTTTTCAGCCAGAACAGTTTCCAGGTGACTGAAATGATGCATCAGGTACACACATGCTTTATATGTCACCTTGGACTGCAAACTGACAGGATGTGAAGTGTTTGTTTATAATAATGTAGCTTGATCTCTGTGTGTACCTGTTGTTCAGCCAATCCCCAGATCTGGTCTTCCAGAATAAGAAATTATTAAGTGAAGTTTTATTGAAAGAGCTCTGAGACTTGAAGTCCAGAATAGCTTACGTTTTGGTGAAGATGCTGGCTTGCGCCTGGATGCCCAGGTATGACTGGCAGGTTTAGTAGGCATGGTGTTGTTGGGCAGATGGTTGGACTTGATGGTCTTAGAGGTCTTTTCCAACCTATGATTCTGTGACTATCTCTTGAAATGTAAACTTACCCTTGTTTTAGGGGTAACGACTGTTCTATAGAGCTTCTGTTGCAGGACTGCAGAAGGACCAGGCAGATTATCATGACCGTCCTCTGCAGTTGCAGGCCATAATGGACCATTCACTCCACATACCACAAAATGCTTCAACCCCGCAGCAAACTTGGAGCTTGCAGCAAAGCACAGAAAGTCACAAATTGTGATGTCCCGCTTAGAAGGAGCAAGTGAAACCTAAGCAATATTTGTTGCCTGTGATCTCTCCAAATTGTTAGATGTAGAACTTAAATATTATTACGAGCCCCCAAAAACTTCACTGGTGAGTGAGATATTTCAATGCATTGTTTGTGTTTTAGTGACCTTTATAGACTCCAAGTATAACCAGAGTCATGTTGAAAGGAAGCGAATTAAAGTGGTTCAGTCACTCTCTGGAAAGTGTTTTAATGTGGTGCATTTTTAAAGGCAGGGCGCTAGGACGGGAAGGTTGAGACACTTTTGGGCAGCTTTAATTCCCAAGCTTTCCCTGCCTCTTCACTCCCCATTGCAGGGATTCCCATTTTGCACTGCAAGTATGCAGATACATAGGTGGCTGTCTGGACAGGGATGGCTCAGTTTGATCTGGTTCCAAAAGAACCGTGTCCGCTTGCTGTAGCTGAGATACCTAAGTCATAGTACCGATAGAAACTGCTGCAGTGGCAAATAGCAGCTTTTGAGTTTCAATTGATCATCTTTTATTTTGTTGGGTTTTTTCTTTTTGAATAGATTCTTTTGGTGAACTGACAGGTAATTACCCCTAATAGTTATTGGTGGCCTTTTAAACCCATTACATTTTTTCCCTGCTGGAGGGTTCGGAGCATAGGACTATTCTTGTCATGAAGAAGTATTTACTTTGTTGGAATAGCATGTGGTGGTTGAGTTACAATCAGCTGCGTCATGTCTTAGGAATGGCAGCAATTTTTCAAATGTAAACCAGTGCCTGCCAGCTACATTGGTGATTTATGTGAGCAGAAATGCAAAGGATCGGAGAGGAAGAGAGCTGCAGAATAAGATTTTCTTAGTAATGGTTTGATTTGTGGTAACTTCTGATGTGCTGGGCCATCAGGTCTTGGCTTTGTGTTCAAACATCATACATCTTCTGCAAAGTTATCTCAAAATACAGTCTGTGATAAAAGGAGTTTCAAAGTACTGATAGTAGTACACCATGTCAAATTAGAGCAAAACTCATCTTTGTTTCAGCTTGCTGCTTGCCTGACACCTACCACTCCTGCAGAACACTTCTAGCCTGAAACTTCAGTCCATCATTGTGCAGCAGGTTCCTCGCGAGGGCTCTAGAAGGCTGGAAGGGCCCAAGCCCACTGCAGAAGTGACTTTCTTCCTTTCTGTTGATAAAAACACTCTATAACTACCCATTTTTCCCCTCTGTTTGCTTCATTATGATTTGTTTCTAAAAATTGTTGTGCTGATGGCAGTACCAACAGAACTTTCAACAGGGAAAAGTAAAAATTTGGCATTATTGACAGCAAAAAGTTTTGCATTGTCAGAGTAGGATACAACGCTTGATTTCTGCTTTAGTCCCCCAGTTTTTACTGCTGTGTCTACAGTTTATTTGATGTGAAAGTTCCCTATGTTACTTCTTGCTTCCATAGTGCTTTCTGGTTTTTCTTAACCCACATTGGCCCAAGTCTGTCTTCTCTTACTTCTGGTGGTTACTACTCTACTCCTTAAGTAGTTCCTTGTGAAACTAATCCTGTGGACTTCAAAGGCATTGCTGTCATAAATAAGACTTGTAACCTTTCCTTTTCTTATTCTCACTTTGAATATCAGTATTTCTGGGAGTGTCTTGTGACTTCTGGGTTCTTTAGCTCTTGGGTATCCACCTTGAAACATCACCAACAGACCTAGTGTTTTGGAGCTATCATACAGTTCATCTTACTGACAATCAGGTCCCTTTATGGAGGCTCTGAATCCTTACTTGAGGCATCCCGAACTGCTAGTTGCCTTCTAGAGCTTTGGCTGAGCTGTCTCCCGATGATTAGATGTAGGTCTAATTGCTCAGAGGTGTCAGGAGGCTGTAAGCATCAGCTTCCACTAGAGCTGGGTGTGCCGACCAGTTCTGAATTTCACACCAGTCTCTTGCGTATTCTTGGGGTTCTTCTTTTGGCGTAGGACTGTATTTGCTAGCACTGATGCAGATAGGAACTATGGAAGTGAAAAACAAAATAATAAAAGTTCATAAACTGAAAAAACTTACACAAGAGCATATTGATCGAGAAGCAGTAAATGTGTAACAATCTTTCCCTGTCATTCAGAAGTTGAAAAATGTACACCCCTTCCACATGCAAGCTTCTCAAAGCTCCTGTGAGTGAAAGTCAACTTTTTTTTGTTTCCCCCCCCGCTTTTTAACTTGCACTTAGCTTGACTGGTAGGGAATTTCTGTCAATTAGTGCTTTTAGGGAAAAGAAATTGCTATTTATGCCTGCATGTTAAAGACTCAACCTTGGACAAGCTTAAAACTACCTTAGTCTGAAGTCGTAAACACATTTATGCCCTTGCTACCAGAATGAGACAATGTTTTCAGGTCCAAAATATTTAATTTCTGATTGAATGCCTGAAATACTGTAATGAATTTTGGTGCATTTGCCAGGAAACGTGCTAATAAAACTGAACATAAATATGAATTACTAAATAGCTTTCTAGGTGGCCAGTTCATGGTTGCCTTAAAAAACTGAAGATGTTACCAAGTGCTCATTGGACCAGTTGCTTAAATGATAAAAATGTCTTTTTGGTACAGTACAGACTGTACTGTACCTCCTAGGAAGATCTCCCAAGAACAGAGGAGGGAGCGGTGTTTAAAGGATGAATTGCTCTGGCAGCCTCTTGAAGCTTTCAGATAGGTGTCTGGCACATTGTCAGAATGTATCTAAAAAGTAGTGATTGTTCTGTGGAGATTATTCTTTGGCTGCTTCTTACACTCTCAAAGTTCTGCAAGTGTTGCTGCAATAAAAGTGGGCTTCATTGTGGAAAATGCTGAATCTGGGGAAAAAGTTCTTTGAGATACGATGGAGAGAAGAATAGTGTCCTATTGGAAGCTTGGTACTTTGATCCTCAGTAATAATAAAGTGGTTTATAATTTCAGCTCTAAAGTTCTAATACTGTTTCAGAATGTGATGGGGAAACAGTGGCCAATTAGTTCTGAAAAAGCCCTTTTTTTCTTTCTTTCTTTTTTTTAAATGCAAGAGCAACTAGCTAAATATTAGAGACCCTATTCTAAATATTAGAGACCCTATTCTTGGCAGCACTTCCATTCTCGTTGCTTTGAGGATGTAGTGGCGGCTTCAAGCTTCAGAGAGGTGGAGCTTAATGTGAAGGAATGAAGTAGTTGTAGAAAATGAAGGGAGAGCTGCAGTGCATGGTACCTGTTCCAAATTCTTTATCTCCTTGTATCTTGTGCAGTTTAATTAAAACTGATCTGCGTACTGCACATTTGGGAGCAGCTTGTTCTTCATTCTTCTTGACAACCAAAGGATCAATATTCTTGTCTGGCTTTTTTCCTTCCAGAGTAAGGCTCTTAGTTCCCAGCCAAGACTTCCTGTTCCTCATTTCAGCGCTATTCCCCTGTTTGCCATTTGCTTGTTACCCGAGATAGGTGGCAAGATAAAAATGCTTTGGAGTTAAAGGTCTCTGAAAGTGTAGAACTGTAGATCTCACCATGCATTGCCAGTTCTCGGGCTGGGGCTTGTGTCATTTTGCAAACATGAATCACTGAAACCACAGGCATCCATTATGGGAGAGTAATCTGTTACGAAGCCCGTGTTGAATGAGAAGGACTGAAAGTGCAGAGGCCAATTGAAATCCCTATGGTTATGCGTATTAGAGGTTCTCCTTGTGTTAGCCCTGCCAGCATGACTTAGCTTGAGTGCTAGTTTCCATAGAGGTGCTATCCAGTGGAGGTAAAGAGTTTTTTTGCCAGCGTATGCCAAGTTTCTTAAAACACAGTGGGCCAAGCCATGCTATGCATTCTTCTCATGCAAATAGTGGGAGAGCTTGCCTGCCTGTTTCTGAGCACGTGGATGGAAAGAGGAAGGTGTTGGAGGCCTGAGAAGATTTGCGAAAATTTATTGCTGTAGTTTGATGGGTTACATTTGCAGCTAATAAAGTGGGATCCCTGAGCTGTTTATTCTCTATGGGTCTGTCAGCTTAAGGTTAGTGTTGATACGTGTAGGTGTGATGCTAGCAAGAGACAATGCTGAAGTTTTAACTCAAGTGAACTTTATGGTGAAGACTTGCCTGTAGGCACAGTTGGACTCCATGCTGAAGTGTTTTACTCATTAGACCTCCTCTCATCTCTCCACCCTCACTCCCTCTGGAAGTAATGCATACAGCAGAACTCATTAGATAGTAACACTCACAGTTCTGTACAGTAGTATTTCCAAGTTTTCTTTCTACTTCCTTTGATGTTTTGCCCAGTAAGAAGTAGGACAGTAAATTAAAGCCGGTGGCAAATTTGCTTAATTCTTTTGAAAGTGCCACACGCTTTCAAGTTGGGAATTAGCTGAGTAGTCCAATTTACCAAGTGATGGTTTTGGTTTTTTGCTTTTACAAATCTGCTTGAAAATTTCATTGCGAAAGTTACTCTTGTACTTAATGTATCCAAACAGAAGTTGCAGGTTCGCAAGCTTGGGGGGAAAAAAAGGTGATTACAGACAGACTTGGTGAAATTCAGATGCAATTTTATGTGTATTATAAATCAGCCTGTTTCTTCACAGGCCATAAAAACGGAAACATTCAAAATCAGGTTACTTCTATGAAAACTGGATTTCAGACCTCTAGTAGGTATATGCAAGTGTTAAAACTGGAATGAAAGTAGCACAGTACTCAGATGGCTGTAGGCATGAACCCCTGCTTTTGTTGAGGACAACCCAAAGAGTAGTTATGTGCCCATTCTCTTTGAGGTCTCTTTCTCTAAAAATACACAGTCCAGAGAAGACCATAATATTTTAAGTTTATTGAATGCTTGTGATATCAATAGGCTAACCAGAATATAAACCATATTCTGATTCAGCTAAAGCCAATGGCAAAACTGTTGATTTCTGTGTTCTTATGATAGTTGAAACAGTGTTAGGGGTTAGAACGATTGCTCTAAAGGACGAGACTATGATTTAATATATTTTTGGGAGAATACTAATCATTCAGGCTAGATGTTACTGCTCAGATTTCAAAGAGGCAGAATAAAGCTGCAGGGGCTTGGAAGATACACACCATACAACGATAACAAGCACCCTTTAACCTGAGAAGATCTCTAAGCCACTTGTCGTTGTGGTAGCTGGTTCTTGTAGCCTTGCCAGTAGACTGAAAGGAGCAGTCTTGTATGCTGCGTGTTGAGAAGGTCACTGTGTCACAGTGAAAGAAGCTGAATGTATATCTTGGTAAATGAGTGACGTAATTAAACATACTAGGTGAATGTGTTTTCTGGAATTAGAGCCGGTAAAAGATGCAGTTTTGGTAGCACGAGGATCTGAGGTTTCTCTGTAGCGCAGTAGTAATCACAACACTGGCAGCTGTTGCTGCACCTTTCCTCCGTGGAAAAGGAGCTTGGTGCTGCTCAGATTGCGTACCGCTGGAACAGGAACGGCAGTTTGGTGTCACTGGCTGCTTTCCTTCTGTGTCAGCTGAAGGAAGGTTGGCCTGATGAAACTGCAAGATCTTCCAGAGGCTGCCTTAACCATTAAGTCAAGGACCATCTTCCAGACCCAACAAGCGGTGTGTTGTCATCTTTTTGCACTTGGAAGCTGCTTTTGGCACGTGAGTTCCAAGTTTCTCCTGCGTCTGTTCAGTCTGCTTAAACACTGACATGCTGTTGCGTGTTGTTTGATTTAAATCAGACCTGAAACAGACTGTAGCTTAAAAACTGTTTTACACTGTGGCTAACGCTTCATTATTTTGTCTCCTGCTTGTGTGTTTGAACACTGTTAGGCGGGCACCGTTCTCACTGACTGCAGGAAGTAGGTGGAGGCTGGTGATGCAGTGGGAACTAAAGCCAAGGGCATTCCTCTACCCCACAGCCTAGGTAATCCTGCAGACAGCCTTAAATAGTTGTTGTAGAAAGATGTATCAGGGCAACCTGACAGAAGTTTACGAAAGTGTGAATCTTCAAGAAGAAAGACTAGGCTATTTTCTTTTTCTGTCTGCATATCTGCAAAAGGGGACATTGCATGATGTTCCAAGGAAACTGGAATTGCAGGTCTAGTTTTGTTGGGTTTGTTTATCAAGCACTGGATTAAGTTGGGTGTAGTATATTCAGGAGCAGGTTGTCTCGTACACTGCTAGTACTCATTTATTCCTTCATTGGCTCACAGTACTCCGTCTTACTCCAGACATGAGCTGAGACAGCTAATGTAGATTAATTCTCTATCTGAGCTTAAAATCCCTAAGGACCCTTTAGAGTGAAAATAACAAAAAGAAGTAGAGAGCCTAGAGAAGCAAGTTACACAGCTAACGATTTGTGTATGCATTACCCATACGTAAAATAAAGTGCATACATACTGCTATGTACCGTGACTCTGCTATGCACTATTCTGGTACGTGTTTTCAGGAAAATGATGTCGAAAATTACTGCATGTGTGAAACCAACAGAGCTTTAAACTCCATGCTGAGATGGGATGCTGAGATGAGGGGTATTTGTGTAACTCTGGAGGTCAGAGTGGGTTATTGCAAATCCTAGAAGCTCTGAGTTGAGTTGATTCTGCAGTCAGTGGGTGAAGTCAGAGTGGGTTCCATCGCAGCAGGATTTTGCCCAGGGTGTCTGTATGAATACCTGTCTAATTGTATTTGGAGAGAGTTGCTTTCTGGTAGTGTTCCTACTGTAGGTTTTCTTTCCCGTTGGTTTCCATGGCCTAGTTCTGAGGAGGAAGCAGAGGGGCTGAGACTTTAAAGTTTTTCCATCTGGGCAAAATGTGGAGTTACATTAAAATGAGCACTTAGTGACAGAAAGAGAGAGGTTTCAAGATCTTTCCAAGTGTCTATCTACTTGTATGCAGCAAAGGCTGGGTTAGTACGCCATTAGTACTATAACCAATGCACTGTAGACTGTCTCTGCTAGCCACTGACAGAAAAGTAAGTCCAGAAAAATCACTGGTCATCAAGAAAACTTATTCTGGAGTCTCATCAGTATAACAGAGGGTTTCTGTGCGGTTCAGATACAAGAAGCAGTTACAGTTTGGTTGCTTCTACCCCAAGCACACTTACAGAGAGACAAACCAGGTATGCTGTGATGACATTATTACTGGTATCCTATTCAGTGTCTGTTTAGGCTGTATATCTCTGTCCTGTATTGCAGTGTAGATGTCCTCTGAGAACAGAGTCTCTTTTGTTTTCATGCAGCTACTGTGGTATAAACACTTTGCAATAAATATTTGAGGGGAAGATGACTAATGGGAATTCTGCAGACATGAAGAGCTGAAGATTATTTCGTTTTCCTTTATAATCAGTATGTCTCTTGCTTCAGCAGTTCTGAATCATCTCAGTTTGCCTGATCTGAATCTACTAAGAAGCTCTAATTAAAATACGTGGGCTAATTTGTCATTGGGTCTGCCACTTACTCCAGAGCATTGTTGTGGAGCTGACTGTGGTTTTAGTCTGCAGAGTTTAAAGCCATAAGAGACCATTAGATCATCTAGTTGGAGCACTTGGGTAACGCTTGTGAAGCTGTCCATATTCCCAGGGGTTGCGGTTGTTTTTTTTTCGAAAGCAATCCAGGTTTTAAGAGATTAAACCATTGATCCTAGAATCTGATCCAGTGTATGATGGAGAGAGACAGGAATATCTAAAAGTTGATGATGGCTTGACTGAACAGCTTCCCTGGTCTCAAATTGGGAAATTAGTTTGATTTAGGCTGTTTGTGCAGGACAGACTCTGCAAAACCTTAGATGACTTGCCTATCCCATCTCCAGGATGATACTCTGTTATTCAGAGGAAATCAGAGAAATCTTAGCAGGCTTTTAATCACCTGTGGATCTGGCAGACACAGCTCCTTGTCCTTGGCAGGCGAGCAGGTAACCCCGGTATTTGGGTTTGGGTGCTGGAGTAGTCCTAGGTTGGAACTGCAAGCACTGGAAGCATGTCGAGTACGGTGTGGATCTTCCTGCTCTGCTCATGGTTCTTGAAAGAAAGCAATGGGTATAGAAACAGACACACAATCCAACTCAGGCCGTGGCCTATCCTCCTGCACAGGCAGACCGTATCATTTCTCAGTTGATTTAATGGCCATTTTTAAGATAACCCCATTTAAAAGTTTTAAGGATAAGTCTTTCCAAGTATATTCCTGTATGTCAGATCAACCTGAAACAGTAAGTATACAAAATGTTGAAGATCTGCCTCTAGCTTATCACATGTTTGACTCTGAAGTCTAATGATGACTCTTAATTGAAGTATTTCCATCCACATAATCCTGTTATTCTGGATTATTTGCATTCAAAATAGTAATGTCACTTGGAACTTTGTACAATTGAGGCTGAATGTCAGCATCAACCAATTCACGAGTGGTATTTTTTTTTTTGTAACAATCAGTTAATGTGCATGTTTCACTGTGTTGAACCATGACTGACTTGTTTTCTTTTTTTCGTGAAGTAGTCTGACATATAAATCTTAATTATGCTATTCTCAATTTTTCAAATACAAATTCCTGGGAAGTTACAAGAACCAAGTTTTTGCTCAAACATCAAAAAGCCTTTGTTCCTATTAAGAATTAGTTCCTTGGGCAGTTCCTTGTTTTTTAAATAAAGCCACTGTATTTTTGGTGATATCTTGGCAGCAGATAGCATACCAGGCTTCTACAAATGGGGCCGTCCAGCATAAATGCGATTTCTTAATGCAGGGTTGTTGCAGCATAAAAGCACATACTTCTGTTTCCGTACAATAGTTTTTGACTCTTCATTTGAGAGTTGTAATGAGATGAAGTCTGGTTATTGCAACAGCACTGAATGTGATTCTTTGTTCAGAGGAAGCAAGGCACAGCCCTCTCCTATCAGATAGTGGTGAGGGCAGACTTCAGAGCAGTGGGACGTGGTATTTGGAAGCGGTTATCGTGTCTTTGCAATGGGTGGAGGGGTGGTTATTTTCAGCCAAGTTAGAGACAACGGATCTTGCAGTGGGTGTGTTTTTCAGGCCAATAATCCACATTTCACATGGATTTAAATGAGTTATTGATGAAAGGATTCTATTTCATTCAGCTCTGAATTACACACAAAGCATGTGACTGCTTCTGCCTCATTCACTTCAGTTTCAGACGTTATAGCTGAGCTTTGCTTGTAGAACAGTCTTGAAAATGGGTTACGGTCTTGTAGTTAAAGTGGGTCTAGGAGTTAATATTTGATTTTCATCTTTGAATATGCTGTAGATGAGCAGTATGACAGGTTTTCTGTCCTCAATTTTCTCTGCATGCGAAAGAGACCAACTGCTACCTTTCTGATGTGTCGGTGGCACTGTGTGAAAGACCCTGCGTTAGTGTGGGAGATCACTTGTCCAGATGTGTACTGGCTGTTTAAAGTGCTGCCAGATGTGTGTGTGGCATTGGAGCTGACTGCACCATCACCTTCCTTCCCAATGAGCGCTGTTGGTAGGCACTGAAGGAGCAAGCCTGACACTGCTTCCAGAGAAACATATGCCAAAACTCCCCCTGGTTTCGCTAAAAGCCAGATAGGGCTCAGTGAGTTGCTGACAGACCTCTTGCAAATTCAGGCTTCTCCCAGGGCTTTTGGACAAAGTGAAGCTTTGTAGGTTTTCAAAGTGTGGGTTGCTTTTACTTGTTTTGTTTTTTTGTGGGTTTTTTTTGTGTTGGTTTTTTTTTTTTTTTGTGTAGTTGTGCTTCTTCTCGTTTTCTGCCCCGTGCATGACACTGAGGCTTCTTACTGTTTTGAGTGCCACTGTTGGGTGTTTCACAGATCAGGAATGCGTGCTGTGATTAGTCTTGCGCCTTCATGCAACTGGAGGGAGTGACAGAATGAAACCTGCTCTTCCCAGCATAATACTGCCATGTGTCAGCCCACATCAACCTCTGTGCCTACTCAGAAACTTTCAGCTCACCGTTAGCTATTACTCAGAGCCCTGGCTACCCTGGAAAGCCCAGGCTGTCTCGAGTTTCCTTTGCCATTCGTGTAGTCCCTGTTTCTGGTGGTGACTGTTGCGTGATGCTTCAGAACAGAGCAGTGTGTGTCCCCTGACTTGCAGCGTGCATGCCCAGTTGCACAATGTTCCGTTTTCTGGAATCACCTTCTGCCCTGAAGCATGAAAATTGCTCCTCCTTATCTTCACCTGCATTACTCTGGCTGCTGTCATTGGTCCTAAAGTTATCTGTTGCCCTTTTCAAACCAGCTCCAATGTGTACTCCTCTGACCTTCTTCCATCTAATGAATTCCTAGGCTGGATGCATCGTTGAAAAAAAAATTTCTTGAACTTACTTTCCACTGTTCAAACTGCAGGACTGTCTTAATGTAAATTAAATAATACAATACATTGCCTGCATCTCAATGTACTATAGAGTATGTACCGGTACTCAAAGAAGATGATCATTAAAACAAACCCAGTAGCTCTTTCCTATGCATTGTGGTTTTGATCTCATCCTCTTTGTGTAGATTAAATTTGCGAGACTTCAGTGCTGCTTTTCATTTAGGATGATGAAATGAACAGAATCACTGCTCCAAAGTGAATTTCAAGGACAAAATCTCAACTGAAGTTTAACTTGAAGGGAGAAGACTTAACTTCAGATATTCCTGCAAATTTGGGGACAAAGGTCTCTGTCTTTTTTTTCCCCTTCCTTTCTAGCTGCACTGTCAGGATTTTATATGAAGGATTTTTATATTTTCATGGCATGACCGTGTTTGTTATGTGGAGCTTCCTTTTTCTTTCAAGTCTGAAAGAGGTCAGATTAAACACACACAGTGGAAAAGAGGCTAAGCAGTTCAAATAGCTGCAGATTGACTGTTTCGGACAGCGCTGACTTCAAGCAGCAGGAAGCATCAGTTGCAAACAGTGAAGCTCCCAGGGAAAATATGCCAGCAATTTGTCTTTTATAACCTTGCACATAACTATTGGGTAGGAGATTTTATACACAGCAGCCCTCTGTTCTTCATTCAGTCTAGCAAAGCAAGATACTATGAATCTTGCCTTTTTTTGAGATGCAGTGGCAGAAGTGTGTTTCTTTAGCTTGTAAATG